TTACCTTTGTTCCTGAAGGACAGCACTCCTCTAGTCAAGAAATCACAGGCATCCAGGTAACATACCTACATCAGGACCTACCTTAATAATCTTACTCAAAGATAAATTCTCTAATTACTCTAAAGTTCCACTACCAATTAGCCTAAAGTGATGAGACTTAACCCTATGTTTCTCTGTATATGTCAAATGTTATAATGTTACTAAAATGGTTTTATATTAAGACATCCAACAATGAAATCAATGAATGCTTGCACTAATAATGTGCATATAAACTCTACACATACATAATAAGTTGTTTATATACATATAAACAGGGGGAAAAAAGGCAACACAATAAACCACTGAAAAAAGGTATAATACATTCAGGGTTGGCCCAGAATGTTCATTGATTTGCAACAACACCCAATAGGCCACATTTATATCTGGCCCCAAAACTTTCTGCAAAATTACCTGTGCATATTTAGTAGCTATATGCAAATAGTCACACATAATAACAGAAAACTTAGAAGCAACATCTGGAAATCTGACAGCACAACAAAAGTGTAACTTGACAGGATTTTGGCGTTCATCCAGCAGAGTCTCAAACACTCCCATAAAGGATTTTCCTGAGGTTCACTAGGTCTGGAGGATGATTTCTGTTGATCAGCTGAATGGAAGATGCTCAACAAAATGTCTTTTTAATGATCATAGAATCATAGAATCATAGAATATCCTGAGTTGGAAGGGACCCTTAAGGATCATCAAGTCCAACTCTTGACACCGCACAGGTCTACCCAAAAGTTCAGACCATGTGACTAAGCGCACAGTCCAATCTCTTCTTAAATTCAGACAGGCTCGGTGCAGTGACCACTTCCCTGGGGAGCCTGTTCCAGTGTGCAACCACCCTCTCTGTGAAGAACTTCCTCCTGATGTCAAGCCTAAACTTCCCCTGCCTCAGCTTGACCCCGTTCCCGCGGGTCCTGTCGCTGGTGTTAATGGAGAAAAGGTCTCCTGCCTCTCGACACCCCCTTACGATACCAGTACTGAATGAAGAGTTTCCTCACAAGTCTACATATCCTTGTCTGCACAAAGCCTGAGGAAATGAGCCAAACCCTCCCAAACTCTGACACATCAGCAAGACTGCTCTGTGCCTACAGCTGGTTGAGGGTCTGCAGGTAGTGTCTGTACCGTCCTTGCAACTACACTCCCTGTAAAGTCACTCCTCTCTGACCTCTGCGTACTCCCATTCCAGAAGTTCTTAATGCTATTTGCAATTCTCCATAACTAAAAATGATTTTTAAATGAACAATCAGGCTTTTCTTCAATTTTATACTTACATAATATTAATCAAAGCTCATTCAGAGTCTACAGTGTCATCAACTGCCAGCAGACTGGAGAAGTTTCCTAGCAATTTGACATTTTATATTGGGGCCTCCATTTTGATTTCCTGTAAGAAGCTACTTTGTCATGCAAACCAAGTCAAATTTGTTGGTACAAATCCAGCAACACAACACACAAATAAATAAATGTAGCAGCATTAATCTTCAGTCTCCATCCTAATAGCACAGATGAATTCAGGCTAAATCCTAAGTGCTTCTTCTCTGACACAAAATACTGAAGTTGCAGTATTTGCTAGACAGCTGTAGAAGAGATAGGCTTAATTTTCTTTAGAGCTTTTATTTCTCACAGCTGTAGCTGAGAAGCACCTGTAGCTCGATGTCAGGTTACTAGAAGGTATTTTAAAAGAAAAGTGAACTCAGAAGGGATTTTACAGCATGCACAGATCTTCTGCAACTACGGTGAGTTCTCCTCTGAAAGCAAGTCAGCCCTCAGGACAGAGCACTGACACAAAACTTCTTTTAGGGGAAGAGTACCAGGAAGGCCAAACAGAACTCACAGCAAGAAGGCCTGCAGTTGTTCAGGATGTTCTGTGGCCATTGATTTGAAATACTGTAATCCACAACTTATTTTGGATGTGTAAGATATCCTAGATACCTCACAGAGATGAAGCATCAGACAGATTTTTCTGGAGAGGACTTTATTTCTTCTTTAAGCTTATACAGGATTTCTGTCAATAAATCTTCAGTTATCTCCCTCCTCTCAAAAATGCAGCTGTTCTTCACTAAGAGAGACTCCTGTGGTCAGATTTTCATTGAATTGCACTTGTCAAGGAAACAATAGTTTTTCTCCTTGAAATATACACGTACTCTTCTCATATAGTGATCAAGATATTGAAAGCTTTTCTTTAGGTTAAGATTTTTTTTTTTTACACAATTAAAAATATAGCTGAAATAATGAGTTCAAATTTGAAGAGGTGAATTATCTGAATCACTCAAGCATTTATTGCATCTGTAGATTTAAATTTCCTTACAGGTTTTACGATCGTATCAGTGTGATGTTTTCCCTTTGCCACATCTGGATCTTCCTCTCAAATCCTGGCCTTGAAGTCATTCTGTGCTAGTCCTTCTCCAGCACAAACTAGTTTGCTTTTTTCATTAGACACTCTAAATTCATGGAGTTTATAGTCTCTTTAATATGGCTTTTTTAATAAGACAGAAGTTTGTGTTGGAGAAGTAGCAGATAAAACAGGGGGGTTAGAAATGCAGCTGCGCCAATCTGATCAAGGGAGAAATAAAAATATGCTATTTTTCAAAAATAATAATTATTATACTTAACTCACCATCAAGAAAGAGCTGTAAATTGCAGTTTAGCCGCCCTTATTGATCCAACACAAATATTAGGAGCAAGCTGTGCTGTGCAGGGGAGGGAAAAAGAGATGATTGTGGCGTGTTTTAAATCCCCTGAGTCATCCATCTTTCCTGGCACAGGGCAGCGTGAGTCAAAGCTGCTGTGCAGGAAGCGAGGAGACAGAGGTGGGCTGAGCTGGCTCAGCACGAGCTGTGCCTTGCCAATGGCAGTTGGAAGAGCGATGCTTTGAAGCTAAGATATCTTAAGTCTTCAAGGCCAAGTTGCAAGAGAAGTCATTTTTTCTGCAATGTCTTCAGCCCTCTGCTTGCTGCAGTACAGAGCTCTTTTTTCTGCTTACAGGCACGGTACAAAGTGCCAAAGTTTGACAGCTCTGTAACTTCCTTTTGGGGACAACTTCACAATGCCTAACATGACTTTAACTAACAGAGCATACACTGAATGGGCACACCTTGAGATAAAGATGCATAGCTCTGCAACTCTTCCATATACCCACACCAGGTACAACCAGGACTGAGGCATGACTACGTTAGAAATAAACGTGTGATCAACTGGGAGTCAGATATTAAACAGCTCACGCTGCCTTCCAGCTGACTCATCCCCCCACTGCAGCTCTACCCTGATGTGCTTTTCACCGCTGACACTTTGAAAACTACTAGCAGGCTCTATATACACTGGGGTACACATGACCTCAGTGTATTAATGACCAAAACTCACCAGTAACTATCACCCTCTTCTCCTTCTGTTAGGATAAAGGGAGGAGAAATATGAATACAACCCCCAGCTCTGCAAAAGGAATCTCCCCGTCATGAATGAGATTCTCCCATTCCTTTTCCATACCTCATCCTACTTTGCCTCCGTTTTGGACCTGGGAAAGCAACTTGTCATGATGAGTTCAAGACCGAAAGCAAGCCAAACATACACGGAATCCTGGTAGCCCTAGAGTAAATCACTGATGCTGAAGACACATAACTGAGAAACTCATGCCAACGTATCAGTTTTAGGAAATACGGGGCAGGGTGTCAACATTAATATAAATCACAGCACACATTTATTTGTAATGAAGTCTCCTGTAAAGAGAAACCCCTGTAAACACTGACAGTAAGACATTAAAAGCCGTGACATAACTTATTACTTGTGTTGACTTGTATTATCTGTAGCTACTTGCACAGTAGGCAATAAAAGCGATATTCAAGACAGAATTCAAAAAATAGAGATAAATGCTCCTTCTGCTTTGTTCTTCTCAAATACAGAAAGTACAAGCAGTTGGACCTATATCCTCTATTTTTAAATTTCAAGGTGAGATTCTGTGCCCCCATTTGGAAGAGAGATCATAGGAGAGAACGCAGAGTGCAGAGCACACACAGCCTGTTAGTAAGGGTGTCTCATAAAGGTAACCATAACAGTGATTCATGCCAAGCGACAGATCCACGCGGCAAGAATGAAAGTACTGCACAGTATGGATACATATTTCTGTGTAATTCCTCTGTGGTCCTTTTTGTGGAAAACAGCCTTTTAAAAACATTATTTTAAAAAGTAAGACAAACTAGATTCTGCTGAATCCAGCCATGAAATATATTTTAAGATTAAGTTATTTACCTCACAAATAATTGCAAATCTCAGCTGAGGCAGGCCCAGCTCTTGCTTACAGAAAGAAAAATGAAACAAGTAATTATTTCACAAAACATGTTTCCAGGAAAAGGTTATAGCCCACAAATTACTGAGTTTTATTCTTCAAACATTAGGACTCTGAGGATGTGGCAGGCCCCTACTAGAGCTGCTGCTTTGTGTTCCAGGCCAATCAATTCAACATGCAGCTGGGCAAGTCCATAGCACAGGTATCCCTCCCCCAGTCACCATCCCAATTGTCAAACACTTAGAAAATTTATATACAACGACAGAGTCCTGAAATGAACGCATTAGGACCTCAAGTCACATGCTAAACTGGGATTAAAAAAATTGACTCCATTTACCAAAATAGACCTATACTAAGCCTTTGTAATCAAACAAACACATGGAAGACATTTAACAGTGATGTAGCCGAAATACTCTTGCAATACTGTATAGGTGCAAAAGTATACCAGTCAAAGTAGGACTTGCATGCTTTCAATCTTGTAAAATACAAAACAAACAAACAAACAAACAAACAAAAAAACATATTTATTTACTTGTTGACCAATGAATAAACTCTGCGGATAAACAAAGCAGAATCAGCAAGACCCAAAGTCCCATGGCTTCCACTAGGTGAAAAGTACTTTTGCTTTTCTGAAACACAGCCAGTATAATAAAAGTAAAAACAAGGTGTCTTCCCTTACCTTCTGCAAAAGGTTCCCATTCATAAAATCGACCCATAAATGGCTTGTTGTTGTATGATGCACACTGCACCTCTCTAATATTTCTGCTGCTTTCAGGACACATCTATTTAAAAAAAGAACACATTTATATTATAATCAATATTAATACAAATACTGCTTTCTTATTAATTAACTTTAGAAGGTCAATGAAGGCTTTGCCTAATTCTAATCCATCAGTTGTCTTCTTTAAATTAGATAACCAATAGTGTGTTTTTAAGTGATGGTATCAAAAGTGCCTGTAGAAAAAGAGCGTATTAGCTTTGTGGAGTTAATGGAGTAACAATTCTACAAAATAAGCAAATTCTTTAGTGAGCTGTCATTTCTCACAGAAAAAAAAAAAATAATAGAAAAGGATATTTCAAGATAAATTCAATAAAGTAGATCTGAATCATTTCCTTTCCACAATAGCTTCACATTTCTTATTATTAATTTTCTGGGCTCAGATTCAACATAGTTGAAACACTTAACATATATGCTTCCATAACTTATTACAAGCTGGCAACACCAGCTTCTCATTCTCATTCTATGCTTCAATATATTACCACTTTTTCTTTTTTATTCCCACATGCTACTGCGACAGCCATAACACTACTTTGTATTTTAACTTGTGTCTTCAAATGCTAGCTTCAGAGTGCTTGAAGTAATGAGAAGAACATTTTATATAAGCACGCACACGTGCACACATTGAGGCAGGGCAAGTTTTACAGATAGAAGTAACATCTTTTATTAGGTCACCTGCAATGCAAGCCTTGGCAGAAAAACCTTGTTCAGATCTGAAGCAGATTCCAAAAGCAAGTACAAGTTAAATACTTAATTACTTTGTTATGCCTTTGTCCTTGCAGTATAGCAGTTACAGCGAAAGACTGCTCTGTGTGTGGGCACACGCAAAGGGGAGCAAGACTTCTAGAAAAGGGGGTTTTAATTAGAACAATTCCTGTGCTTGGAAAAAACAGATGAGCTTTGGTCACACAAGCATTTTTTCAAGTGGCCTTCAGAGGATCAAAATGCCGCTAAAAACACTGTTCCACAGCAGTAATCACATGAAGAATTAGACTAGAACAGCAAAATCCGTTTTTCTATAGGAGATAGTTTTCACGGAAACAGCAGACACAAAATTATATCAAAGCAACGTGTTAAGCAGCTATATTTGAAGGGAACAGTAAGAAGAGAACCAGTAAGAAGAGATCTTATGGCAACTGCAAGTCAGTTCTGTGGAGGGGTGTGGAGGGGGAAGGACGGGCTGTCATTGCAGTGAGGGCCGGCACACCAGAGGTCCCAGATGAAGCTCTCCCCAGAGGAGTTCTGGCTTTGTATCCCCCATCTATGTATAAAGATGCTTCTAGCTGAATCAGTGAGACCGAAGCCAAGAGTTTTAAAAGAGGGGTATGAACTGAACCAAAGACATGGCTGGGGGGAGGCTCGCAGACGGCTTTATCTTCTATTAGAATCACAGTAACAACTCCTCTGGAATAAACACTGCTCCTGGCCAAACAGCCATCTGTGCTTAGTTCATCCCCATCTGAAGTCTCCAAGTCCACGTATATGCTGTTCTCCTCAACAAGCCAGCCATCAGAAAACAAGCAAACAAACAAAGTCCGGAAACAAAGAAGAACTAAGCAAACAAAAAAAAGCTTCACAACAAACCACCAGAGTATATTGGACAGTGAGACCAAAACTCTTTCTAGTGCCTAATACAGAGATCAAAGCTGTACTCCTACCCCTGAAATCACACATCCTTCAATCTGCAACACAGCAGAGCAGCAAGAGATGTAAGAGACAATTCTGCCACAATAAACATCGAGGCTCAGAACCTCAAATTTTTTCGTGGAAACTAATCACACCATGTATCCCAAAAGCGAGGGGCAGAGCCTGAGCTGGCATAAATTAAGGTCCTTACGTTAAATTACAGCCGAACAAAGTCAGTCTGCACCAGCAAAGAACCCAGCCTGAAGGGTTTCTTTTTGGAACACATTTTCCTTTTCTTTTTTCTTTTTTGGCACATGTGTTCTGACAGTCTGTTGCAAAGTTTTGTTGTTTCTTGTTTCTCCTTCTCTGAGCCTTGAGCTCATGCTCTTGTGTACCACTATTTCTGGCTCATAGACCATTTCCTGTGCACCCTGTTCCTACCAACTGCAGACAATGTAAGAATAAAAAGATCAAAATATTCATTGCTGTTGCCAAGAAAAAAAAAAAAAGTGCTCCCCCCCTCTTCTAAGATCATTTTTCTATAGTTACAGTTTCTGTTTTTAAACTTACTGAAAGTTGCCCACAGGACAGAGGCCCCATTGCTTTAAAAGAGGGCAGAGGACTGCCAAGTACACTAAACACGCTGTCTGGATCAAGACGAAGTCAGAGGAAGAACAGACTAACTCAGTTACGTCCCTGCTACTTTAAAAGTCCGATGTCCTCCCTCCATTTCTTTCAGCATCGTGTAATTATATTTTTGCATGAAAACTGGCGAGTGAGAGCTGGTCAGCAAAAACTCCTTACTTTATTCTTTATACAGATTATACCCACTTTTGTTTTTGAATACTTAAAAATACGAAAGAATTACGTGCAAGGTGCAACAAGTCAAACTAGGCACAGCTCAGGAATCCCCTAGGCTGAAGGCAGTCACCCTGCACAAGCACACTGGGTAACTATTCCTCGTTTTTTAGCCCCTGCAAAATTCTGAATGCCCAGCTGAACAAAATGACATTTTTATGCAACCCACGGCTCAGCCCCCTTCCAAATGAAATCCTTCAGCACTCCTCAGAAGAGCTCAGAGTGTCGGGCACTTGATCTTGGCCTTGTTGGCTTTTCAGACATCTGAGGCAGAAAATGGTGCTGTTGCTAAAAGGGAAAACCCTAACCCTGAACAATCAAAAGCAAAACTTTAGCACTGGTTTTGGTTTATTCACTGGGAGAACAACCAATTTTTATTCCTTTAGTTACTACTTCTGTCATAAATCCATAGAGCTCGACTGCAGAACTCCCCGAGGACGGCAACGAGCATTTGGGACTGCGAGAAGGCGATCCCAGAGGAGATCCCAGAGAATATTTGCAGTGTCTGAAGGCTGTATGTACCTCACAGCACTTTGCAGCCCTCGGTTCGCTTCCCAGTGCTCAGGCAGGGCCGGGAGGCGCTGGAGGCCCGTGGAGGAGGCCTGTGGAGGCCAACGCCGGCCTTCCAGGAGCACCGGCCCACGGCAGGCAGCGGGCTGCATCTGGGCTTTCTTCACACGCTGTCAGAGGCCCTGTGCTCTTCCTGGCCCTTTGCCAAACGAATATCAATTTTACGTCAAAAAGCAGGCGTGTTTACAGATGAGGAACGTTTCCGTGGTTAAGCCACAGAACTAGCATTTAAATGACCTGGATCTCTTTCCTAAATCTTCCAGAGGCTTTCGGTGTGAACTCGGCAAAAGTATTTAGCCTTCGCGTGTGATTCTCCCTCAGCTTCTTCCCCTCTGGGACGGGAGGGCACTGGAATTGTGTTGCCTCACAGGGATTTGCAAACAAACCTTTTGAAAACAAAATGTTGACCTTGATTCTTTTTTTTTGTTGTAGTTGTTAGCAACGGATTTGGAATTTCTTCTTTTTATTTTTTTTTCTCCTCATGAACATCATTCTCTTTTGTGATAACTGAGGGAGTGAGCTCAAGTTTTTCTTAGAGATGTTGATGCAGAAACAGGATGACACCTTTGGATGTTTGTCAAACAACAAAAAAAAGATTTTTTAAAGCAGGTACGTGGAAGCCAGAGCAGCAAAAAAATCAATGCACCTAATATAAAACTCAAATTCAGGCAGATATAAATTACCTACAAAACTAGATTCTATGCTGGGAGACTTTTTTTTTTTAATTATTCTTTCGGTTGTGCACTGCAAAATTAGAAACAGGATCACGGACCCATAATTTTGTATGGTTTTAGATGACGTCTCCCCTACTCAGAGTATGTGTGTAAGAATAACACCAAAGCTGTAACTGAGCGGTGCGGGTCCTCCTCCAGCCACGCAGGTCAGAGCACCAGGCACTTCCACACGATGTGAGAGGCTTTCAGAGCTTCCTTCCACTGCCACATTTCGATGCAGCTCTTTCAAGGAATACGATGTCTCAGCCAACTTTTCTTCTCGTACTTTCAGAACATGCCATTACAACAGCAGCAGCACAGCACTGTGCTGATGGAGCAGGGAGTGCTTAGAATGGAATATTCTAGAAGCATCCCTTTGTATTTGGAGATGTTAAGACAAATTCTTTGAAATGCACTGTGTCTGAAGATGACATTGCATTTCTGAAAGAGTTACCCTTACCTATGCCTCAATTTCACCTGAGATACACAGGTATGAAATATTCAGAGGGATGGCATCACGCAGTACTTCTCTTTGCCCGCCACCACCACAGTTTTCTTAAAACTAGCTGCTAGTGAAGCTAAGTCCGTAAAGCAAGGAAACCACCCTACACACTTTTGGAAAACACTTGAAAAACACATGTTTTTAACAAATCTTTGACACTTCAGTAAATTAACAAAGCGTTGGCAATCCACCAGGAAATTATCAGCCCGCCAGCTGATGCGCGCTCACACTGGCTGCACGCCTGCCATGAGCAAACCGCTTCATTGCTGGGCTGAGATAATGCATTTCTGGAAAAGCATAAACGGCTTATTTTGATACTGAAACCACCTTTAAAGGCAATTAAAACGTTGACTTAGATTTTGGCACCATTTCGTTCCTGTGACCTACAGTAACTGGCCAGCTGTTTTTCCAAGGCCCCAAACTCCTTCTGGATTCTCCAGGCTCAAGCATAATTCATAATTAATATTGTGTGCACATTGCACTAAATAAAGTCTAGTTATACTTTTTTTTTTTTTTTAATTTCTGCAATGGTTCTATCTAATCTTATTAATCCTTTTACATTCCAAAGAATAAACACACCTCCAAAGGAAAACAACTCAAATACTTGCTTCTGAAGCAGTGTGCTGAAGGTTCTGCTTTTATTTTCAGTACATGCTCTTCACATAACAATCCACCATTGCAGTGAAACACTGCCCCAGCCTTGTTCCTTCTGAACATATGGAAGTTACATGGCTG